CAGTTGACAACATATGCAAGATAGAAAGGACAGAAAACATAAAACAAACAGAGGAAATAAGCAAATAATACAATGTGATCTATTCCCAGCAAATACTTCCGTCCTCCACAACTCAAGAGGCGCTGAAACCACACTCAAAAAAGCTCCGCTGATAGTTTGACTTCGGCTTGAAGTAGGCTAAAAGAGCACTTGCTCAATCCCACCTGCCAATCACTCCAACTGGAACTCTGCATTAAATTACCCCACAAAAAAGGTGTACAAGAGAGAACAGAGGTGAGCGTATTACCGGCACAGTATTCGATTACATCGACAGTGAAGAAGCAAAGACTCGCTACAGAGAGCACACGGCCAAGGGGCCAAAAACACATGGGCCGCATTGTACTGAACCGCTTCAGGCCATGTAGCATCTTACTGCAAGGAAGCATTTAAAACCAATTCTAAACAATAAAATGTTGTAATGAGATACAGGAAGAAAGACTGAGACCTGTATTTTGTTCACATGTGAAAAATGCAAAGAGTTTGTTTGGTTGGAAGTTTTGGGAAGAAAAAAAGCATGGTGCTCATTGAGTTATGTAACATGGAAAGAAACAGTTCTGAAGAAAAAAGGGGGGGGGGGTTTGTCCTGAAAATAAAGCTGTCTTAAATCTAATAATGTTTTATTGAAAGTAAAGAAACCGCAATGTCTTTTTTTCATTTGAGAGAATTACTGCATTTTGCACATAAAATTCAATTTAACCGAGATCTCTGTCCAAGCAAAGGAATCAAAATAAGAACAAATTGTGCTTCCTCAAAATTATCTATCTGGTCTGCACTTTATGCTTTAGGTTACAGCTAGATATGCCAATTTTACATTATTGTCTGACTTCACTCAGGTAGAAGTAGTTATATTGTTCATTAATGGACAAAGAGCCAGAATCTCTGCAGGGATACATTTGTTAAGTGAGAATAAAAGCCCTAAATATATCCTTACTTAGCACAGGTTAATCATATAAGGAACCCTTTTATGGAGATAATGGAAAAAAGAGCCATACAAGTCTAGGAACATTAAATTAGGTAGTTCCTAAGAAGGATAAAAGCAGAGCAAAGCGACTAGGTCTAACAAGGTTTTAGAACTCTTTGGCAACTGAAATTAGTTTCTACAGAGAGCAAAGGAATTGTAAAAATTTCAGACACATAGATCACTTCATTAAAGATAAAAGCTTACAAAAAATAACCAAATTTATAGCAATTTGGCCACAGAAAGTACTTTCTCAGTATCAAATAATGGAAGAAGAGTAAAAATCTAAAGAACATTAATCAGATAATGCAAGATAAAAGGCTAGACATGTAATGAAATTTGGAAGCATTTGGCATAGTGGACTATGAATAGGTTGCTGCTTTGCCAACAAACCTCTAGGGGGTGTGAGGATCTTACGAGGAATTACGCAAATTTTGTGGAAATTACGCAGCCAGCTAATCTCTCTTTTCATGTCTTTATCTGCTCACAGGAGCATCAAACCTGGACCCATTGTAGCTCAAATCATGACCTCTTTCCTAGAAATATTCAGCAATATTTCGATTCCTGTGAATTGGAAAGGGACATAATTTTACAAGTTCAACAACCACAATCGGCTTATATCAGAAACTAGCTTTAACAAAAGCAAAGCGCCTTGTGAACTGACCCGATTGTTGGAAGTTTCAAACATAAAAACAGATCTTGCCTCTTATCAGCCTTTTGTGCCAATTCTGAGAGTTCTCCCTGTTAAACAGACTAAGAGCTGCATGAATGTGAAAATGTCCTGTGGATTGGACCGAACTTCAAATAACAGAAACTGACTCCTTGCAATTTTTTGCCCAGTTTAATGCTCAATCTTAATACAACAGCATGAAACAGACCAAGTTCAACAGATTCAAAATCAGCCCATGTACAAACCATTCTAACCCTGACCTCAACTCTTAGCAAAATTTGAACCGATCTAGGTATGGGCTAATGCCTGATCTAAGCAGAACAGTGTGAACGCGCCCCCGTGTCCTGAGAATCAGTCTGAACTCCAACAACTCAGAAAACAGAATCTGTTTCCTATCAGGTTCTATCTCAGGGCAATATGACACTTTATAAACAGACTAGTGCTTCTTCTGTCTAGTACATGCTGCCTTTTGTCATTCTTGGCACTGCCTTTAGCGAACTGGGAAAATAAGAAAGAGAAGAAAACCGATCTTTTTCTCCAATATTCAAACTTTAATTTTTGTCAAATGGTGAATGCTTGGTTTTGCTAAGTAAAATCAAAATTTTCATGAATTTTGCCAATTTATGACTGATTTTAATGGAACCTTAGTCATATATATATATATATATATATATATATATATATATATATATATATATATATATATATATATATGTCAAAAACAGTTACTAAAAACTGGGTAAGGGGAAGAAATTTAGAGCATAATTCATGAGACTGACCCAAGTTAATGACCCGACCTTCAGAGATTATTATTGATAACCTTAAATACAAAATAGATTCCATATGCTTTTTACAGATTTTTCTATAAACTGTGATTTTCAAGATGATTTTAACAAAATTGGAAGGAAAAAAGCTCCGTATCTATTTCAAATGCCAGACTCCTTTCACTAGTATTCCCAATAACTTGAAGTATCTCCATTCTCAGTCCAAGAAATAAATATGATAAGATTTAAGGGTGATCACACTTGTTTGTACTTAAGAACTCAAGAATTTCAGATTCTTGGTTTAAACTTTACAGGTTAATTTTCTTGTGAGCAAGAAAAAACACTCTAGCTGGAGAAAATGACTAAAACACATCTCACGTTATACCTTAAAACATACTGACTGAATAATTTAAGCTGTCTTTAATACTTTCTTTGCCTTTTAGCACTATGGCCAACAAAGGAAAAAAATCCATGAAACAACAGCATTCCCAAACCTGCCCTATTCAACGATGTTTTTGCTTCCCCTCTCGGCATGCGGTCTTGCAACGAAATTACTCAAATTATGCCCGCCAGCAAGCACACAAATCTGACACCTCAATAAGAGCATTCTATGACTTTGGATTTGACCCTGTGATAAATGTGTTGGAAGCCCACCTGGGGATTCTTAAGTCTAATTTTGCAAACTGACATCGGTTAAATTTAGATCTTGGGAAATCACTAGACTACACAACCCATCACGCCTTGACCAATGAAGAAGGTTATGTTTCCATCAGAAACGGTTTGTCTGTTGGCTTGTTAGTTTGCTTGTCACTGGACAAGATATTCTGAATTTCTGAAGAACTTCTTCCAGTTTTTTAAAAAGATTATCATTGAAAATATCTGTTGACATTTACAATAAGTACCAAATTACACATTTTCACTGCTGCAATAACAATCAAACATTGCATATTTTCCTTAGCAAAGGCAAATTATCTTTAGCTTGAGGTTATTATTTTTATGTCCTGGCAGAAATCTTGCTACTACAGTAGAACTTCACAATGGACTCTTGTGTGAGATAACAGACAGAAAAAGAGAGCAAAAATAGACATCCTAAATAAATATATATGCCCAATTTTAAACAGTCTGCTTTGAAAGTTGCTATAATTCTATGCACCAAGTGTCTTTTGTTTTCTCCAGGGTATTAATCAGATTTTGCAATCAAATGCCAAAACGGTCACCGTATTATATCATTATCTCTCTGAGCAAATGAAGAACCTTTTTACACAGTATCATATCTCTGAAAAATGGCCCAAGAGGGCATCATGTATTTCATACATGCTGCAACTTGTAAAAACAGCTGAAAGTTTTAGAATATTTGCCAGATTTAAGGAATTCTTGCTGAACTGACTGTAAATTCAAAATGTCAGCTCTTAAAATTGTTGATGGCCACTTGGACCAGCTGCATACAACTTTTTTTATAAGTCCCAAGAAATATTTTCAGCCATAACCAGTGAGACTGAAAGTTTAAGCATGACTGATGCATTGAGGTGACTTTCAACAATTTTCTAAAAATTGCCTTTTAGACAGATTTTTAGCATCTAAAGCAATGAACACCCAATATATCTAACATTTTAATCCTCCCTTACATCTCAAAGGCACGCTGACACTGGCATGAGCAATGGCATGAGCAACGCAATTAACATACTTCCCACTAGCGTAACTTTTGGACTGCCAACCATGACCCTTACTTTGAGAATGTGCACAATTTTCCTCCAACATTTTCAGAATTCTGGTGAACACCATACACTTATGACTGTGAATTTTGTTATCAATATTAAGATCAATCTATTTATATTACCTGGCAGCTGCAGAACCGTCGAGAAAATGTCAAAATTCCAAAAATGATTTTGAGGTTTCTTGTAAAATGGAGAGAAATAAGGGCCATTAATTGTATCTTCACAACTAACGGCTGCCTCCTTTTGGTTCAAGTCAGTTCAATGGATGACCCATCACATGGATGAATGTTTCACAAATTATCTACTCTGAATGTTGTGATACAATGAAATATCAGCATAATAAGCACAGTGTCACATCTTGGGCATATTTGACACTGCACTGTCTTAGCATCATATTTCAAAGGAATGTGGAGTCAAAGCCAAAACAATGTCACATCTAACACCTTATAACATTGTCACATCTCAAACCATGTTACACCAAAAACAATAAACATCATAGCATCACATCCATCAGTATCATAATCTCGAACCCAATGCAATGTCACACACAACAGCATCACTGTCACATCTAATGCAATGTCACACTATCATATAACACCTAACGCAATGTCAAACTGTCATATAACACCTAACATAATATCACACTATCATATCACACCCAACGCAATGTCACACTATCATATAACACACAACACAATGTCACACTATCATATAACACACAACACAATGTCACACATATAACACCTAACGCAATGTCACACTATCATATAACACCTAACGCAATGCCACACTATCATATAACGCCTAACGCAATGTCACACTATCATAAAACATTCAACACAATGTTTTCTTACCGAGACACAGGACCGCCTACAGCTGTTCATAATGGCAAGGTCGCAGCAAGGTCGGCCATAGAACCTCTCTATGTCTTGTAGTGCTGGAAGATAAAGAGTGAAGAATTAGGCAAGGCCAAGATTAAAACTATACATATTATACTATACATTTAAATGAGATCCACATGTGGAGCACGGTTTATTTTATATGTATTACACATATTTTTGTATTAGCTGAAAAGACCATCTTTGTTTAAAGTGATAATAACTCTTCGTTTCGGCCAAAAAATGAATTTTCCTGGAGTAAACAACAATTTTCCCATACTTACCAATGGTTAATGAATCCATTTTTACATTCAAAGTTAGTCCCTGGTTTTTTTCTAAAAAGTTTGGTTTTTTGTTAAAATCTCTTAAGAGATTTTAACATAGTATAGCCATCAATGGAGGTCACGTGGTCAAAAGACAAGCTCAGATATCAGAATAATAGCTATAACAGCCGTTTTTGTGGGAAAACAGAATATATTATATTTTTATGAGTCACTAACAATGTCTTTATTGTAAAATACAGATTTCATACGAAGAGTTATTATCCCTTTAATTTAAAGAAATGGCATTCACTTTGAGTAGTTTGCTGTGAATTTTGATAAAATGAATGCCACTCATTTCGAGCCAATTTTTATGCTATACTGTTCACATATATTTTTGCAAACAATTCTGACAATTACTATACCAGATATTCTACATGATATGTTTAAAGATGATATATTGTGCTAACATCATGTTTGCCATCAAACATATGCAGGTGAAGCACTTAGTAAATGACAAGTTAACATGAAGAAATTATGGAACCTGCATACTACTGGGTTCAGAAATTAATTGCTAATTATTGGCAATAAACTGTGATCAGTTGATAATTATATCAATACAGAAAAGGTAATTGGAGTAATTATTGCAAATGACTGCTATGCACGCATGTAATTGTGACCTCATTGTAATCGTGGTCTCACATGCAAACCTGCTCACCCACATACAAATGTAATTTTCAATATTTGCTTCAAGCACTAATTGTATGTATTTCTATGATAAAAATCCAGACTTGATATTTTTAATAAATTTTATTTTAAAAAACTGACAAAGAACTATTCCAGTGTTTTATCTCCCTGCTTCACACATCTTTTCTATAAAAATGTCAACTCTTAACATCCCAAGAAATAGTAGAAAATTGCTATATGCAGCAGCCTAATCATAAGTCTCTACAGGCACATTTGAAGAAAAAGTAGTCCAAAAAATAATTAAAAGCAAAAGAAATTAGCAAAATATAAAAAAAGTAGAACTGCATAAAAAACAAGAAGGAATATGACCATGATAAGATCTTCCTCTGCCAAATAAAATTTGTATGATAGAGCATCTAATTAAAATGAGGGAAATAATAAAAATGCACATGGTCTCCACATGTTTCAGCAATGATGTGCCAGAGCACCAGATGACCTCTGCACTCTGTAACCCCTTATTTTCCAATAGTACTTTGATTAATTACAAACTACCCTATACAATACAGGCCATCCTGTCTCCTTCTGGCACCCATATTAGTATGGGATGAAAGAAAGGTTTATTTTTTAAGCTGAGTATTCTAATCGGAACCCTGGCCTATTTAAACGTCCAAACAGGGAGGGAGAAGCTGTCTCCATTTGAAAAATTGTCATCTTCCACAAAATTAACAAAGGGTGCCTNACTACCCTATACAATACAGGCCATACTGTCTCCGTCTGGCACCCATATTAGTATGGGATGAAAGAAAGGTTTATTTTTTAAGCTGAGTATTCTAATCGGAACCCTGGCCTATTTAAACGTCCAAACAGGGAGGGAGAAGCGGTCTCCATTTGAAAAATTGTCATCTTCCACAAAATTAGCAAAGGGTGCTTACATAGTACCCCTTTTTTATTCCTCAACTAATGAAGTAAAAAAAAAAAACTTTTCTTTTTCATATTATGCCAAAACGTGTCTGGTCCCTCTGACGGGACATTTCAGGACGAAAAAAAAGATTGATTCAAACTTCATCGCTAATCCCTAGACTTAACTTGTAAAGATAACACCCGTGCCCGTACCCCTGACAGTTTTATTCTTTATTGGGTAAGCACAACTCCACAGGGGAGTATGCCACAAAGACTTCTTTCTGTACTGCGATTACACACCCCATTAAACGCAGGGGCAAACCGCCATATTTTTATGCTCACATAATACCAATCTACCATTAGTGGTCTTTAGTACACGCCCCCAGCACTGCCTTACAATGAAGCGGTGTGCTTGCTTTTTTGTTAGCAGGGTTTTTATTGACTGGTAATTATCTATCGAGGTTATCATGTGGGTAGAGTGGTTGTTGGTGGAATAAAATTTGATGCGTTGGGTTATTCTGGTGATAATTGCGGTTTGGGTTGTAACATTTTATCTTCATTCACAACCTCTTTGTTTTGGATCTGAAAATACCTGCATAGGTAGTAAAAGTCAAATATCAAATGGGTTATTCTGGGAAAAAAACTGCTGTTTTGTTCATAACATTTTATCTCTCTATGTGATTACTCTGTTCCTGGTTCTGGAACAAGTTGAAGAAATATGAGGCTAAAATTGGACGATGTTTTCTGTTATAGTTTCGATCATAGTACTGTAAGATGTAAAGATAAAAGTACAACTAAGGAATGCCTTCATGATCCCCCTTAATATCCTAAATGGATAAAAGTTCTGCAATATTTTGCCCACTTCATTTATAAATGTTTTCACAAAGTATTATTACCTTCAACTCACCATAAATCTCACACAAAAACCCAGTCATAAGAAGAAATTACACAAATATTACAGTAGCTATAGAAATTAAATTTAAGGAGCAATAACTTTAAGTCTCAATATCTTCAGCATACCAGATTTTATTGGCACCTATGCATCAACAACAATTCCTATTCACAGGTCAAACATAAAAACCACTCTAACATCAACCATTTTTCATTTGTGCCCTCATCTATTGCAATTAATTTTTTCTACTGTGGTAGGTGTCACATTATGCCGAGTGTGACAACGAGCAATGCCAATGAATCTGTGTAGCAGTGTAATAATCTTTATTGCAGACAATCATGGGTAACCAGGCAAGTAAACATTTTGTTATCAGGACAGTGTTATCGTGATAAATGACCATCTGAAGTGTCAACCTATGTCTTACACACTTATCTGTGTAGCTGTAACATAAGTACAGCACGCGGTCCATAAAGTTGGCTGTTCTGGCGACCTCCCCCTTCACAGTCCCACATTACTACATAAATATTACAATCCCAGATTATTGTAAATAATTTAAGCCTAGATGTATTTTTTAGATAGACAGACAAGTAGACAAAGAATGTACTAGTACTCCATGTTGTTACTCTAACTTATTAGACAGACATTAAGGCAGGAGTAAAGACAGAACGAGAGACAAATACATGCACCTAATTTGGATAGACAGACAAACATAGAAGCAGATACATAGTCATCTTTCTCAATGCACATACGAAAGCTCAAACACAGCTGTACCAGGCAAACAATACCAAAAATTAAAGCAAATCACCACATTAATATTCTGCTGGCAAATCCTGCATAAAAATAGCCTGTAAATGTTTACCTATCATATTGGATACACAACCCTGTTGTTGACTTAATTAGGTTTATTTGCTGGTGTTCTTTACCTGTCACAGAGCTAAGTGAGATACATTGTCTAACATACTTATAACATTTTGTGAAACTATGCCCCATCCCTTTTAAACTAATTTTCCTCTTCTAATTTATGATTTGTGTGTGTGCGTGTGTGTGTGTGTGGGGGGAGGGGGGCAGGCAAAGAACTGTTTTACATCTTCTGCTTTGGTATATCAAAAAATTTGGCAGAGACACAAAATATGTATCAAAACACAATTGTTCTTGTTCCTTTACCTTCCAGAAATGAAAAGAATAAGTTTGGTGACTCATAGACAGATATCAATATATACCAATTTACCAGACGTTTAAATATTGTTTTCCCTTTTTCAAAACTGAATGGCTTTTTTAATCATTTTATATTATTGCATTTCTAAAAATATAATACATAATCAAGCAACTTTTCAAGGGATGAAAGAAAACATTTAGCAGACATGATGACTCATGTCTGACACCCTGTAGCAACATCATAATTACAGCTTTCAGAGGAAGCAGTAAAATCACACATATTTTCAATTTTCTTCTACCCCCTATTCAGTTTTTAAGTATATATCCCTGGAACTAATTACCATAAGCATGGAATTTTGGCAGGAAACTGTAAAAAAAGGCTGGTATGTTTGACAAGTGTCAACCTGGAAGCTGTAAAAAATAAATCACAAAACAAATCACCTTGAGCCATTGTGAAGTGGTATGTTGCACCCATAGAAATGATGATTATCTTTCACCAATTTTATCCTTGTTGTCTTGAAGGAAGGCAATGTTTCCTTTATGTGCGTTCTTGTTAAGACACAATGGTGAAAAATTTAACAAATAAAATTCACAATACAGCAGAATGCCTAGAGCTTGACTGGACCCCTTCCCCCAGAGGTTGTGAATAACCATACTAAAATTAAAAAGCAATCCATTTTGTGAAAAAAGGAAAATCATTTCTGATCGGACATAGGTGACATATTATGAAAAAATGAGATAAAGTTGACCCATCTTTTGGGGATATTGCTGAAATAATCTTTTTCTATAGTAATGGAACTTTTTTCACTTATCATATCATAAATAAAATGATTCTGGAAGACGGAAGACGTTTTATGCTCAAGACTTGTTTCTGGAGAGAATTTTTTACAAAATTCCTGACCAATGCAAATGCAAAAAGGACCAATGCAAATGCAAATTTTTTTTACATGACTGACCAATGCAAATGCTAAAAAGAATATATAAAACAGAAACATTATATTCTAAACATTTTTCTGTCCTTTTTCAATTTCCTTCTACAATGCACCACTGCTGATTTAAGCTTTCAATATTCTTAATATTTAACTCAAAACCAAAAAACTATCAAAAAACACATGGCATTCACAAATCAGAAAAAAAAATCCTACACAAAACAGTTCTGATGGAG